GAACCTAGGGAGAGGTTGTATCCGAGTACTTGAGGAGGAGGACACGGGCTAGGTTCCTATACTTAGTGTGTAAAGTGTGATTGCATAGTATTTGTTGTGTGAGAGTTTTCGGTAAACTTGTAAACCGAGTGTGTAGAAGTTCCGGCTTCCAAACCGGATTGTGATAGTGGAGATCTCCTCGAGGTGAGGAGCGAGGATGAAGGTCGTGGTGACCGAACCTCGTAAACATATCGTGTGTTTGTGTTTGCTTAGCGTATTTTTATTTGTGCTTATTCATATCATTGTTGTTCATATCCATCTCATATATTTCGTGCAAGAACATATTAATCAATATAATTTTAATTAGAATTTAATCGGGATTAGATTAGCATAAGACCCTAATCACCCCCCTCTAGGGTCTAACACTTCAGCTATTCGTCAAAATAAACTAAAAATCGAAGAAGTCAAAGATCGAAGCTGACTATAGGTCCTTTCACACCGACTGAAGGTTAGGCCTATCACATTCAAAGTATTTCAGACTCTTCTATAAAAGAAACGAGACTAAAACACTTTGGAGGGGGTATCTATAGACGGCAAAAATTGCATATAGGTCCCCGCACGTGGCTTAAGACAGAGAGAAGACAATGAACGTTGCTATCTGAGTCACAGAAGCTCGTTTGACGACGATAAGCGCATGAAGTGAGTCGACGGACCATGCGAAGTAACGAAACTTCGGAATAACGGAAACACGAATGGATCGGGAGCTCCGCGTCGCTTACCAAAGATGAAGTGCCCCTCGTGTCCTATTTACTCCACATATGATTCAACCATGGGAGCTTATAGATCTCCTCGTCAGCTTTCCGACACATTTTGAATCGTGTGATTTCGAGTTCGGACGACGAAGTTACGGCGAAAACTGACAGAACGCGCAGAATAACGCTCTAGGCCTCGTCGAGACACCAAGAGGTGTCTCGGCCAAACCCTGGCCGAGACACCCACGGGTGTTCGTAGCCCCGAAAACCGAATTTTGATAGTTTTGAGCTGTTTTTCAATCGTTAACCGCCTGGATTTGTTCCAGCTTATAGAATATCATTCAACAACGTGGTTAAGTGGTTATAACTGAAGATAAGAATGAATTGATCATTTTTATCCAAAAACGGAGGTCCCGAAGCCTATAAATACAGCCCCAGGGTCTTCATTTTTCAGATCTAGAATTCTCGAGCGTCGGTGAAGCCCTGCTGAATTGAAGACTGAAGGAGCACGAATTTCAGAGAGGAGAAGGAGATCGGATCGAGTTCTTCAGGCATAAAGAAGGAAAGTTCGACAGATCTGCAGCCCGATTCTTTTCCTTGAGATTGCCCTGTTGCGGTGATCTCAAGAAGAGTGATTGTCTCGTTGTTGCCGAGATAATTGCTTCGGTTTCTTGATTCCTTCACAAATCAACGAAGCTCCGGATCTGATCTGATCGTTTGGTGCTCCACAGATATCAACGTCCCCGTCACAGGCCAAGATCCTACGTAAGCAAAAAATCGATAAACGATATCTGCATTTGTTTTGACGATGTTTTCATGAAATGCTGCCTTCATCATTGATGTCATTAAACTTTAGTCGTTACAAATGAATTCAAATAACAAAAATAAAAATTATAACTTTCTTGAAAGTAAACACAAGATCCGTTTATCGGGTCCTGCTTGCGTGGGTCTTTAGCCGGTGACGGGGACGTCGATATCCGTGGACTACCTGACAATCAGATCAGATCCAGAACTTCGTTGATCCGCGAAGGAATCTAGAAGCAGAACTTCATCAATCCGCGAAGGAATCTAGAAGCAGAAGCGCTTATCTCGGCGAAGCGAGATAATTGCTCTTCTTAGAATTACCACAACGGGATAATTCTAAGGATCGGATGTGGGTGATGCAGATCTGAAGGCTCTTTCTCTCTTGCGTTGAAGAACTCGATCACTCTTCAGTCCAGCAGGGCTTCGCCAATTCTCTAAAATTCCAGATCTGAAAAAAGTGAGGACTCGGGGCTGTATTTATAGGCTCCAGGGGGTTTCGGGCGGTTAAAACCACCTAAAACAGTATTTCTGCGTTGGAGATACCCCAGGGTGTCTTAACCTGGGCCGAGACACCATTGGGTGTCTCGGCCTTGGCCGAGACACTCGAGGTGTTTCAACTCTGCGTTGAGACGTATTTTGCATATACGATCGTTTTCTCCGTAGTTTCTTCGTCCGATCTCGGATTTGAGTGATTCAAATTGCATTGGAAAGCCGATGAAGAGTTCTATAAGCTCCAATGATTGGATCATATGTAGAATAAATGAGACACGAGGGGCGATGCGCCTTTTGTAAACGTCGCGGGGCTCCCGATCAGTCCGTATTCTCGTTATTCCGAAATTCCGGTGCTTCACATAGTTCGTCGATTCACTTTAATCGTTTGTCGACGTCAATCAAGATTTCGTGATTCGAATAGTGACGTTCATCGTCTTCTCTTAGCTTCGAGCCGTTCGCGGGGACTTATGGGCAATTTTTGACGCCTACAGATACCCCCTCCAAAGTGTTCCTGCCTCGTTTCTTTTATAGAAGAGGCTGGAGTATTTTGGATATGATTGGTCCAACCTTCAGTCGGCATAAAGGACCTACAGTTAGCTATAATTCTTGACTCCTTCGATTTTCAGTCTATTCAATGATTTGACGAATAGCTGAAGCTCTTTCGGCGTTGCGTTTATCGTCTGGCCGTCGTCAGAATCCCGAATCTAAGCGGATGGGTTGATTTTGGCTCTCGTCGTTGAGTTGACTTTGAACGGACTATTCTTGTCACGTTGTGTTGAATCAGGGTTTCAGTTTGCAACGCATTGATTGGCGTTGACCTAGGGTTACGCGTTGACCGGCATTAACCTAGGGTTTCATTTTGCAACACATTGATTAGCGTTGACCTAGGGTTACGTATTGATCGGCGTTGACCTAGGATTTCAGATCGTCATAAGTTGACTTTTTGGTCGCAACGCGTTGACTGACGTTGACCTAGGATTACGCGTTGACCGGTGCCGCCCTTAGGGTTTTGAACGTCGAACGTTGATTTTTTGGTCGCAATGCGTTGACTGGCGTTGACCTAGGGTTACGCGTTGACCGGCGCCGCCCTTAAGGTTTTGAACGCCGAACGTTGACTTTTTAGTCGCAACGCGTTGACTGGCGTTGACCTACGGTTACGCGTTGACCGGCGCCGCCCTTAGGGTTTTGAACGTCGAACGTTAACTTTTTAGTCACAACGCGTTGACTGACGTTGACCTAGGGTTACGCGTTGACCGGCGCCGCCCTTAGGGTTTTAAACGTCGAACGTTGACTTTTTGGTCGCAACGCGTTGACTGACGTTGACCTAGGGTTACGCGTTGACCGGCGCCGCCCTTAGGGTTTTGAACATTGACTTTTTGGTCGCAACGCGTTGACTGGCGTTGACCTAGGGTTACGCATTGACCGGCGTTGACCCTAGGATTTTGAATTATTCGGTGTTGATCAGTGTGGATTTTGTCGAAATATCCCTCAACCGGTGAAAAACGGGCGAATTCGGACTTAAAAGGGACATTTGTAAGCATACGGGAGTCAACCGAGGACTGAGACACCCGTGGGTGTCTCAACCTTGGCCGAGACACCCTAGGGTGTCTCGGTTCAAAAACCGAGACACCCTTGTGTCTCTCTCCTCTCTTTCCAAATTTTCTAAAGAACTTTCCTCTTTTGTTTTCCCCCTTCTTTCCAAAATTTCAAAACAAGAATCCCTTCCCTCTTAAACTCCTTCTTCCTTCTCTCATCCAAACACACTTCTTCATAACCCATTTTTCTCTTCAAGAACTCTTAACCCATTGAAACTCCTCCCCCTTAAAACCCTAAAATTCGGATTTTTGTGTTCCCTCCTTGGCCGAAATTCATCTCTCCTCAAACTAGGGTTTCTTTCTTCATCTTCAAGGTCAAGGGAGGTTTCTTGATTTGGGTAAGTTTCACTTTAAAACTCTCCCCTTTTTTTTAAGAAAGATTGAAGCTTTATGACATGAATCCATATGCAAAGATTATAGCTTTTTATTCTCATGAGTTGGGTTTCATAACAAAGATAGGGTCTTGATAATGGGTTGCATGTATTGATCAAAATTTGAGGGGTTTCATGTAAACATGCAATATGGCCGAAATTTAGGGGGCTTTTATGCAAAATAGGGCTGAAATTTGTAGGGGTTTTTATGCAAAATAGGACTGAAATTTTTAGGCTTGGATTTTATACCCATTTGGTCACTACTTTGAGGGGTGTTTCATGCAAAAAGACCACAAATTATTGAGGGTTTTATGTGCAAATATGTGGCCGAAATCCTTAGGGGGCTTTTTTGTAAAATTGGCCGGAGAATTGAGGTGGTGTTCATGTAATAAATGACTGAAATTAGGATTTGGATTACATGTCCATTTGGTCGAAAATTTGAGGGGTGCTTTATGCAAGAGGACCAAAATTGTTGAGGGGTTTATTTGCAAAATTGCCCAAAATTTGTAGAGGGGTACTTTTGCAAAAAGACTAAAACTTTAGGGCTGAAATCTCCAAAGTTTTAGACCACAAACTCATGACCAAGGTTTTGAGAAAGATATACGGAAACTAGACCGAAATTTGTGGAGGGGTCTATATGCAAAATTGGCTAAATTTTACAAAAGGGCTTATTTGCAAAATTAACCAAAATTTTGGGGGTATTGGGGGTGTTGGATGAACAAATATGATGACCATGATCCAACTTGAGCATGTCCTTGACTAGAATTTAGCCTTGAACACAAGGGGTATTTTGAGTATTTCACCAAAAATTTATCTTGAGGGTTTACACCGCAATATGAGCTTATTGTTTTGCATGTACAAAACTCATAGGTTTAATTAGATTTCAACTATAAAACCCTATTTATTTTATAGGATTTTAGTTAAAGTTCTTAATTTCCCTTCGGGCTTTCAGATTTATGATTGTACCTGACCCGTCAATTTTCGTTGCAGGTTCACCATGTCTCCGCTCCGACAACGATTTCATAGGAGTCGCTCCCTCTCCCAGCATAGCGAGAGGGAGATTCCCGCGGCATCTCCTTCAGGGGCCTCTTCTTTCGGGGGTGAGCACTTATGCTTTACATTTCCCCGATTGATCCCTTCGCGGTTCATTCGGGAAGAACTGACACCCTCCTTCGCGGGGGTCGAAGTTTCGGATTTGTGGTTCTGCTGTATCCTCGCTTGGCCCCTTCGCGGGTCATTCGGGAAGAACCGACACCCTCCTTCGCGGGGGTCGAGGTTTCGGACTTGTGGTTCTGTTGTATCCTCGCTTGGCCCCTTCGCGGGTCATTCGGGAAGAACCGACACCCTCCTTCGCGGGGATCAAGGTTTCGGACTTGTTTTGCTTGGCCAATTCAAGTCTTCTGATATATTAGGGCGATTTTGTGTTGTCTTACACCTTGTAGGTCGGTATATGTTATCACGTTGTTTATGTGATGATGCATACCGTTCTTCTAGTGTAAGACACTCAAAATCGTCTCTCCAATTGCTCTGTGGATGGTCTTATCTCGCTCTCTTGTGAGATGGATCTAACCCTTGTATATTTCATGTATAACTTTTCTGACTGTACCTTTATTTTTTATTGCAGTCGAGTTCTCTGCAGACAGTCTTCCCCCTCATGCTACCACCGGCTGTAGTGGGGAGGTTTTCACTTCTATAGCCGTTAGGCAGGTTATTGATCCCTCTCCTCAGTTTGATGGGAATCGATCCGAGGAATCCCGTCGTTTGATACGAGAAGGGGGGCGTTATTCCTTACGCTAGCTGATCATGGATGCTCCTTTCACCGCCAATTCTATTTCTACTCAGGCTTTAGAGCGGCCTAATTATCTGTTTGGGGATTCTGTTGAGGATCCGGCCAGGTTGAATTTGGCCGACGAGCATTGGCTGAATAATGATGAGGGGACTGTCCTTTATATCCCTTCCATTCCCCGTCAGCACTCCTTTACTCATTTGGAGGGGCAGGCCGTAGAGCGCCAAATATCATGGAAGCTTACAGATGATAGGGATCGAGTTCACTGTGGATACATTTCTTCTCATAAGACTCCAGGCTCCCATGGACGTCATCTTATTCGCGGTCTTCGACCAGGGATTATGGGTCTTGATACCGCACCCCCAGGTGAGATGTCGACAGCTGCTCCTACTGTGAGGAATCGCCTGGCTACACTTGGGAGAAAGTTACCTCCGCGAGAGTTCAGATGTTTTGGTTGGGCTTACTCACCGCCCAAGGGATGGTGGACCCGTATGACCGGTTATGTCTTAGGGCGTTGGGAGAGACATCTGAAGAGCAGTGGGTTGTACGCTCCCATACGAGCCACTATGTACGGATTCCCGGTCAGCTGTCGCCATTTCTTGGCATTGCTAGAGACGTATATCCCTGAGAGTAACACATTTCTGACCAGCGGTGGAGAGTTAGGGTTGGCCTTGCACGAGATGCACCAGGTTTCTGGTCTTCCCATAGGGGATTGTCCGTACCAGGAGTACTTTCCCTCGAACCTACAGTTGGAGCGATTGAAGAAGGATACTCTCGATATGTATGATACTCTTTGGGACCTCACATGTCATTACTATACTTCTCTAGTCAAGGTTACCCCTCGAGCGAAGAGGAAGAAGCAGATCAGCTTGAAGCAGTTCGCTGTCTATTTATTCCAGAATTTGGAGAGTACTTCAGGCGAACACATTTGTGAACTAGATGTTTTGACACCTTCCGCAGCTAACGAGTTGATGGAAAAGGCCGAAGCTTGCTCCTACATGACTGCCAGTGTTGAGGGAGCTTTTCCTGCAGGGACTAAGTTCCGAACCTTTCTTCGTCATGCGCAGAAGTCCATTGAGCCCAGGACTCTGCTTGCAAGCTATCTTGCCCTCTGGTTGAAGAAGTGCATCGTTCCATATCAGTTTTCGGACGCCTTACCCCTCGAGGTGCTCTTCCCTGTCATTCAGCTAGCTTATGGGAGGGAGCTTTCCCTGCTTCCAGCAATGGTTGCTGGCATTTATTGTGGGCTCAGGTATTTGGTCGATGGTTTTGCGCAGGTGGGCCCTGAACCGTCGATCGAGCTTGTTTGTGTAAAGACCGAGCTTCCATATACATACCTGATGGCATGGCTTGTCCTTCATCGTCCCGACTTGATGTCAGCCCCTAGTACTATTGATATCCCCGTTCCTTTCGTGCAGCTGTTGGAAAGGAGTAGATGGCTCGGGAAAACATTTATTGATGTACAGCGAGATCTTCAAGTTCGTAAGAGCTGGGAGTTCTTCAAGTGTTTTCCTCATTTCTCGGGTCGTTATGGTGATGTTTTGGTTGATGGAGAGAAACCCAGAACTGGCCGGACTGCACTTGACACTGGTTGTTTTCGCTGGTTGGTAAACATCCGCATTGGGTATCTTGTTCTTCGGGTGAAGAATCGTTGTCACATAGAGCCTTACCTTCCGTGCCGTTTCGCTCGCCAGTTCGGTTACGACCAACTATATGTTGAGAACCCGAGCCGTGGTTTGAAGACCGAGGGAGGGCTTATTGACGGCGTTCGGGCATGACTTTGGACTATGGTGGGCTGTACTGGAGCCTACTTTGCTCTTCCTTCCTCTAAACGCAAGCCGTTGGTTACTTTTCTCAGCTGCAAGTGGTTCCTTTCTGCCAATGAGTTCATAGGCGTGAAGAGTCTTTCAGAACTGGAGACTGAGCATTTGGCTCGGGTTACTATCCAGGCTACTCGTAGAGCCGAATTTTTGAAGAAGCAGGGGAAAAAGCCTGCCAAGCCCTCTCTTTTGAGCAGAGACAGGATAGAGGATGATGAAGAGCTTCTTCCCACTGATGATGAGGATGAGACTTCCGAGGAAGAATATGTGGACATCGATACCGATGAGGAGGAACCTACTACAGGTTTGTCCGACTCTTTCTTTTCAGGATTAATGGACTTATCCCTCTTTCGTTGGTACCAGCGTCATATTCTTTCTAGACCTCAATTGACTTTTCAAAAACCAGAGCGAAAGGTCTTGTTTACTTATCCTAACAAGATGACTCTTATCACCCTAGGTAGAGTGGATAATGAGCATGAATCGCTCGCTTCTCGCTATGCGAGATCTCGGCCTAGCGGCAACTCTCCTGCACAGGTTGAGGCACGTAGCAAATTTATGCATGAGCGGCCCGTTGGTTCTGCGAGTGTTAACATTTCAAAATGGAAGAAGACTGTTCATAAGCCACATGTTGATCGGCGTCCCTATGGAGTGGAGTCAGAAGGTATTGACGGCAGCGGAGAAGGTAATACTCTTTTGTCTTCATCAATTAAAGACGATTCTCCTTTTGGATTCATTTAACTTGATTATGTTTATGTTTCAGGACACCATGAAGAATGTGAACTTCCACCGGATTCCGTATTCCCTGATTCCGATCGTTTGGATAGTTTCATGCAGCAGATGTGTGATGCCATTCACGACGAGCCTATGGATGTTGACACGAACATGGTGTCGGGGCATGTTAATGGTGTTGAGCCCACTGTTCTACACTCAGGTATACCTCAATCCGATGACTCCTTATTCAGGTAGCATTTTAAGGAGTTCAGGATTTATCTCTCCTTTAATTATTCCCGTGTTTTGGCTTCTTTCAGATAATTTGAAGGATCCAGGTATGGACATCGGGGCGAAAGAGTCCGATACTACCACTGCAGGTACATCCGAGCTCTTCTTTCTTTTTTTTCCTCTCTTTCATGTATATCCAATACTTAAATTATTCTGCAGAAGCCATCTTAGAGACCAGCTGAAGATGAAGCCTTTCATGATACTGGTCTCGAGGAACAAGGGTATGTCTCAGCACCGAGTTTTTCAGGGTCTGATCTTAGACTATTAGTCGACCTGCTGGCTGAGCAGACCACCAAAGATACTGCAGGACCATCCTTTGAGAGCGATTCGTCCGCAGGTATATATCTAATTCCTTTCATTTTGCCTGATCTTTTATTCGGCTAACAAAAAACAAAATTATCATTACAGTACCAGTCACTGGGACTGATTCAATCATGATTCCCAGCATTTCTGGTTTACCTCAGGGTAATGGTCCTACAGGTATGCATATAGTCTAGGTCGTCATGCTTCTTTTCATTTATTTGACTTTTTGACTAACGAACGAGTATAATCACAGGACCAGCCATCGGGACTGATACACTTATGATTCCTGGCATTTCCCGTTTACCTGAGGGTGATGGACCTGCAGGTATGCAGATAATTCTATCATCCCGATTTTCTTTATTTGCCTAAATGTCCATTTGACTAACAAAGAAATACAACCATAGGACCAGCCGTTATGACTGATGCGTCTACGGTTTCTGGGACGGATAGCTTGCCTTATAGTGGTATCTCCTCATCACAGCCGAGAGACACTACCAGTTTACCCTCGATGACCACCCATGCTGTCATCTCGGAGCTCGCCGAGACTGGACTAACAGAGCCGATCGTTAGACCTCAGTCTGCGGGGACCTCTATTGGTATTGATATGCTTGTAATTCGCTTTAAATCATGTTTTATCACGTTCGAATATCTCTTATTCTTTCATACCATGGCTTGCAGGATCTCGACCGTCTCCATACGAACGTGTCCTAGTCCTTTTGGCTGATTCGGATCCCAATAAAGACATCTTCCGCACGAATCTCGGTTTCTTTGTCCTCTTTTTTAATGGCATGATTGAGAAACTTCTTCATCGAGGATATCGTTTTGACCAGTTTAGATGTTCTTTTTCTCGCTACATGACGATGATCAGAGAAGAGGGACATCCAGAGCTGGCCGATTCTCTCACTGCCGACTTTGTTGTTCCGGAATCAGAAATTCGAGAGTTAGAGGAGCTGAAGGCTAGTGGAGTTTCTTCCTTCGTGTCTTCTTAGTTGGAGCATAAACTGGCGCAGTGGCACGACATGAGATCTTCCATTGGTAGTGAGCTTCAGTCACACGAGAGTTCTGCCGCACAGTTGATGGCTAGTCTTGCGAGGAAGGATATGGATAGAGCCGAGTTACTCAGTTTTTTGGACTCCAATCGTGAGGAAGCAGGTAAGTTGAAGGAGGCCCTGAAGTATGTTGAGGAGTCTGGTGCTCTCATGGCAGAAGAGTTGGCTAGATTAGAGACATCTCGTGGACAGACGCTTGAGAAACTAGGATCTACACAGGAGCGATTGATGAAGCTGAAGAATGAAGCCGCGAAGATCTTGAGCAGTTCCGAAGAGTCCGTCCGAGCTGATCTGCAAGCAGAACTTGAGCAGAGTTATACAGATAGACTTTCTAAGTTAGAATCTCATGTTCTTAGTCGTCAACTGCCCTCAGATTGACGAGCTTTTTATTGTATGCTTTGACTTAATCTTATTAATGAAGACCCAGCATTTGATTTCATTATGGTATTTCTTTATTGATTATGAATCCAGTGGACATAATGCTTATAGGATTTTTGGCAAACCCCCAGCCCTCAACGGGTTTGATATGCCTTTACCGATTACCGTTTGAATCGGGCTAGCATGTGACTTTTTTAAAACCCGTTTCACATGTAACGTTGCGCTAAGAGAATTACTTCTCTTAGACTTAATGCTATGATCTTGAATACATAGACTTCACCACTTTTTACGGGAATATGGTGCCCGGCAACGCGTATTAGGCATTGACTTTATTCCTCCTTAGGATTCGGGATAAGATTCCCCAGACTTAGACTATGGTGTCTTTCTTAATCGGCGAAAGACTAAACCGGCTATGTGTGTTAGACATAGACTTAGGGTTTTTGGCAAACCCCCAGCCTTCAACGGGTTTGACATGTCTTTACCGACTACCGTTTAAATCGGGCTAGCATGTGAATTATTAAAATCCATTTTACATGTAACGTTGTGCTAAGAGAATTACTTCTCTTAGACTTAATGCTATGATCTTGAATACATAGACTTCACCACTTTTTACGGGAATATGGTGCCCGGCAACGCGTATTAGGCGTTGACTTTATCCCTCCTTAGGATTCAGGATAAGATTCCCCAGATTTAAACTCTGGTGTCTTTTCAAACGGTGAAAGACTAAACCGGCAACGCGTGTTAGGCGTAGGCTTATCTCTATTTAGGAGTCGAGATAAAGTTCCCCGTGCATAGAATGTACGGATTTGAAGTTGAGAATTGTGTCTTTTTTTCAGGGTAAAGACGAACCTAATGTTGGAGCGGCAGAATTTTATATTCTTGGTTTCAAGTCTTGTTTAGGGTAAAGACAAACCCAAAAAATGAAAGAGGAAGAATTTTATATTCTGTCTTTCATCACTGAAGAGGAAGAATTTTATATTCTATCTCCAGTTGGAAAGGAAACTCGAGGTGGGATCTCCACCCCCAGCGTCCAGAAAGATGAAACTAAGAGTGGGATCTCCACTCTGAGAATCAGAAAGATTCAAATGATCCTAACTTTTATAGGATTGGTTGTTTGATTCAAGAAAAGAGTTCTTCATTTATTGAAGGGAAATTCTGATTTCAACCCTAACTTTTATGGGTTTGGCTGAAAAGGAATTTATGAAAGTCTTTCGTTTATCGAAAGGGGTGACTTGATCTTAGTCCTAACTATTTGCAGGTTTGACTAAGTGAGGTTGGAGACAATCCTAACTTTTATAGGTTTGATTGCTCGAATTGAAAATGGACCTCTCGTTCATGGAAGGAATCGAGAGGAGAATCTGGCTTTTGCCCTAACTTTTATAGGTTTGACCTGAAAGCAGGAAGAGTGGTATACCAGTAGCAATGAGGATGCCGACTCGTACTATCACTCGATGGAGGATTTCGATGTTAAGTGATTGGGATTTAACACGTCAAGTTTTGAGAATTGCCGTGAATCGGCGGATAGAAATTATGGTGGGCCCACCGTCAATTGATTTGATCAGTGGGGGATTTTGTGAGGAAATGTTGATCTGTCAAGATAATCAAATCTCATTCATCAATAAAATCACGCTTTAACTTTGAATACATTCAGAGTCCAAGTGTGGGTTTTTTTTATTCATTATTTGCATAGCAACTGGGTTATCCCTAAGAATACTACATGCAGTATTCTTCCGGGAACTTCCCGATACATTGGTTATCCTGAATATACTAAGGGTAGTATTATTTCAGGAATTTGCCGTTTATCGGCATCATAAGCCGATCGCCATCCTTGGTGACGAGGCGATATGCGCCACTCGAATAGACTGTCTCTACTATGAACGGCCCTTCCCATTTGGGTTCAAATTTTCCTTTCTTCTTAGAATTAAGGATCATAGGCTTTCTTTCAGTTAAGACTAAATCTCCTTCTTTAAAACTCCGTTGTCGAACCTTCTTGTCAAAGGCTCGGGAAATTCTGGCTTGGTAGAACTCAATATGCTGTTGAGCCTCTAAGCGCTTTTCGTCGAGCATCTCGAGTTCTTCAAGACGTTTTTGATGTTGCTCTTCGGTCATCATCTGGGTTGCGAGAGCGATTCGAAGAGACGGAATTTGTATTTCCAGCGGTAGGACGGCTTCACACCCGTATACCAAGGAGTAGGGAGTTGCGCCAGTCGGTGTACGTACTGTAGTACGATAGGCCCATAGATCCGCGCCAAGCTTGTCATCCCAATCTCGTTTATTATTTTTCATAAGTTTCGACAACAACTTTATGATAGTCTTATTGAAAGCCTCAGCCAATCCATTTGCTGTGGGATTGTAAGCCGTCGACGAGATGTCCTGAATTTTGAACTTCTCACAAAACCTGATGAAGGCGTTACTGACAAATTAATGACCATTGTCATGTATGATTCGTCTTGGGACACCATACCGGTAGATGATATGGTGCTTGATGAATGCGATGACGTTACTGGTCTTAACTTCTCTGAGCGGGATCGCTTCAGCCCATTTGGAGAAGTAATCCGTAATCGCCAGGATGAATCGATCACCTTTGACCGACGGGGGATTTATAGGACCAATAATATCCATTCCCCAGGTCTCAAACGGCCATGATGTAACCGAAGGATGAAGATGCTCCGGAGGTTGGTGCATATAATTCGCGTGTATCTGACACGCGCGGTACTTTCGGGCATACGCGATTGCTTCACTCATCATATGAGGCCAGAAATATCCCATTCTTCTGATTCGGTCATAAAGTCTGGGGCCGGGTTGGTGTGCACCACATTCCCCTTCGTGCGCTTCCTTAAGGACTTCTTCAGCTTCTTTAGTCGATAAGCAGCGTAGTAGCGATCCGTCATACCCCCTGTGGTACAGCGTCCGATTCTTCATATTATAGTAGAACCTCGGTGCTCTTCATCAGATTGACTCTCTTTCCTTCACGTCTTCTGGTAAAATTCCGTGCAAGACGTAATCGATGATGGGGAAACGCCAATCTTGAGGTTCAAACTCGACGTGAGTTGAGTGTACCTCTTTAACATCCTCCTCCTCGCCATTTTCATCGTAGATTGGCACCAGGAGTTGGTGAGTCCTCACTGTAACAAACTGTTCTGTTTCAGGAGGATGTGCCAAGGATACGGCTAACGCATCTGCGTAAGCATTTTGTAACCGCGGAATGTGTTCGATGAAGAATCCTTCGAATGATTCTGCTATCTCCACAGCCATCTTATGATATGGTATTAAATCCTGACTTCGAACCTCATACTCTCCTTGAATTTGCTTAACTATTAGTTGAGAATCCCTGAAAGCTTCGAGATACTCAACCCCCAGTTCTTTAGCGAAGTTGAGTCCTATGAGCAGTGTGTTATACTCGGCTACGTTATTCGAACATGGTTCGGTCAACGAGTAGGCTCGAGGCATGACATGTTTTCCTGGGGAAACTAAGACGACTCCGACTCCGGAAGAAATCTTAGAACACCCAGGAGCACTTGCCGCATTGACTGCTCGGGAAGCGCCATCGAAGTACAAATGCCATACTTGTTGGTGTGAAGTTGCGTTGACTTCGTGGGTTTCATCTGGTAGGTCATCATATATCTCGGCAGTATCCGTAGTTGGATTAGCCGCCAGGAGGTCACAGATGGCCTGTCCTTTTACCGACTTCTGTTGTTTAAAATGCAGGTCGTATTGGGATAAGAGCAAGGCCCATTTTGCTAACCGCCAATTCATGAAAGCTGGTTGTGTCATGAACACTCGGACTGGGTTAACTTTGGAGATAACATATATAGTCTGTCCAACCAGGTAATGTCGCATCTTTTGAATCGCGAACACCAAGGCGAGACATTCTCTTTCGATCATGGGATATCGGGATTCGGCACCTACCAAAGTCCGACTCAGATAATATACCGCCTGTTCATGACCGTTATCGTCATCTTGTGCAAGTAGTGCACTTAATGAGTGGCTCGTCGCCTTGACATAAATCAAGAACGGTTTGCCCGATTT